ACCCACAGAAAATTGAAGCCATTGTAGACTGGCCACGACTAACCAATGTGTCAGAAATTTGAAGCTTTCTGGGGCTTGCAGGTTAGTATCGCAGGTTTGTGAAAGATTTTTCAAAACTTGCCATGCCATTAACACAGTTGACACAGAAAAATGTACCATTTAATTGGAATGATCAACGGGAGTCAGCCTTTTAAGAACTGAAAACTAAACTGGTAACTGCACCAATTCTGACATTGCCCAACGGAACTAATGGGTTTTAGATTTATAATGATGCTTCCTACAAAGGCTTGGGATGTGTATTAATGCAAAATGGGAAGGTAATTGCCTATGCTTCTCGACAACTCCACCCACATGAAAATAATTACCCAACTCATGACCTTGAATTAGCAGCTGTGGTTTTTGCATTAAAAATCTAGAGCCATTATCTATATGGAGTGACTTGTGAAGTATATACGGATCATAAAAGCTTGAAATATCTCTTTACCCAAAAGGAACTGAACATGAAACAGAGAAGATGGCTGGAATTAATTAAAGATTATGACTTGCAAATTCTGTATCATTCAGGGAAGGCAAATGCCGTTGTAGATGCATTGAGTAGAAAATCAACTAGGAATTTGTCATGTTTGCTCACCAGTCAGAGAGAGTTGTTATGTGATTTGGAGAAGAACGAGATTGAAATTGTGTTGCGCGAACAGGACGGGATCTTGGCTGCCATTTCTACTCAACCTGTAATCATTGAAGAAGTTAGAGAAAAACAACTTGAAGATGAGTTCTTGAAGAAAATTGTTGTTAGGATTGACTCAAGACCAAGGCCAGGATTTGTGCTTGATAATAATGTGTTGAAATTTTAGAATCGGCTTTGTGTGTCGAATTTTTTTGACTTAAGGAAACGTATCATGACTGAAGCTCACAATTCTAAATTTGCTACGCACCAGGGGAATACGACGATGTACCAAGACTTGAAACAAAATTTATGGTGGCCGGGAATGAAGAAGAGCATTGCTGATTTTGTGGCTAAGTGTTTGCATTGTCAACAGGTAAAAGCTGAACATCAACGACCTGCTGGATTACTTCAACCGCTTCCAATACCGGAATGGAAATTGAAGCATATCACGGTGGACTTCATTGTTAGACTGCCTCACTCCTCTTGATGTATAGATCCTATTTGGGTCATTGTTGATCGTTTAACTAAGTCTGCTCACTTTCTACTTGTTAAAACTCTTTATAATGCGGATAAATTGGCTAACATCTATGTAAATGAGATTGTGAGATCACACAGCGTACCAGTATCTATTGTATCTGACAAAGATCCTAAGTTCACTTTAAGATTCTGACAGAGTCTACAACAAGCTTTGGGAATTGAGTTATGACTGAGCAGTGCATATCACCCACAAATAGACGGCCAATCAAAAAGAACGATACAGACCTTGGAAGATATGCTCAGAATATGTGCCCTAGATTTTCAAGGCAATTGGGAGACCTACTTACCATTGGCAGAATTCGTGTATAATAACAGCTATCACTCAAGTATTGGGATGGCTCCTTATAAAGCTCTGTGTGGTAGAAAATGTCGTTCTCCGATTTGTTAGGCCGAGGTAGGTAACGGACCTTTGTTAGGATTGGAACTTGTGCAAGAAACAACGGAAAATATAAAATTGATTCAACAGAGATTAAAAACTAAACAGAGCCGCCAAAAGAGTTATGCAGATGTTCAAAGAAGAGACAGAGAATATGAAGTCAGGGATCACATGTTTATCAAAGTGACTCCAATGAAAGGGCAAACTCGGTTGGTGTAAAAGGCAAGTTAGCACCGAGATATGTTGGGCCATACGAGATTTTAGAGAAAATCAACTCGGTGATGTATCGGGTAGCTTTACCGTCGGTCATAAAACATATACATAATGTTTTTCACATATCAATGCTTCGAGATTATTTGAGAGATCATTTCCATGTGATTAAACCAACCCACGTGCTACTGAAAGATGACTACATGTACGAAGAATGGCCAATTCAAATTGTCAATCGAAGAATCAAGAGATTGAGGAACAAAGAAATACCGTTGGTAAAAATTGATTGGCAAAACCACTGTGGGACGTATGCAACTTAGGAGACCAAAGAAGATATGATGAGGAGATACCCTGATTTGTTTCCTTTGGACCCGATGTTCTTCCAAAATGAAGGCAATTCGAGTTTGGAGGACCAAACTCTTTAAGGGGGGAGGACTGTAATGACCCCAACCTATGATTAACTGCTAAACTATGATTAAATATGCCTAATAAGTACTTAAGATGAAATTCAAAAATTACATGTGTGTTGCATTATTTGTGTTCATATATGTCTATCGTAGAAAGATCTGTTCATGTTTCTGTTTTATTCTGCGAATTGAAGGCCTTATCGGCCACAGAACGTGAAATTGACTTGGTTTATGCATTAATTGGAATTTTTGTAATTTTATGGTAGGTTGAATTGAAATTCGATTCGGAATGAAATAATTATAATATAATAATTGCCATTACTTTGTTTAATCCAAGCTTAATTAGAGCTCCCTAATCAAGCCTATTTAAGGCCACTTCTAGCACCTTTGAGACACTTTACACTCTTGTTCCTTCACTCTTGAGCCTCAAAAATGTAAGAGAGGGAGAATTCAGAGTGAGAGGCTTGAATTCAAGAAGGAGATAAGGTTTTACCAGGGAATTAAAGGGTAATTGAAGAATTGAGCAAGAACTCACTAGAAATTCAAGAAATTGAGAACTTTAGGAAAGACTTTCAATCATTAAACTTGTGTTTGACTCACTCATGCTTGAATTTAAGAGAAATTAGAGATTAGGGACGAGAATTGACCTTAAGAATAAGAATTATGATCAACCCATGCATTGCATGCATAATTCATGATTTTGAGCTCCATGTTCATAAATTCTTACATGCAAGAGCATACCATTGCTATATTGTAAGAGCTCACAGTGATTCCACTTGAAAACACTTCATCTATTCATGTTTTGAGAGCTTTGTATTCAAGTCATTGCATGCATGTTATGTTTTCACAAGTTTAAAGTTTACTTTGGAAGAATGTGGAAAAACTCACTTGTTTTTGGACTTGGTTTTGCAAAATGACTTTCAAATCATGAAGTTCTATGACTTTACAAGCGTTTTCTCAAGTTTTGGGTCCAAAAGATGTGTTTTGAACCATTGAATTCGAGTTTTGAAGTTTGGAAGCAAAACTAGAAATTCCATAATTCTACTTTGCAGCTAGAGCAACAGATCCTGTGCTCGAACGACCACCCTTTGTTTTGCACTTCCGCTCGAGCGACCAAAAGCTGGCTCGAGCGTAAAATGCATGTTTCCAAAAGTTTTCATGTATTGCAGACCGCTCGAGCGACTAGAGTTACGCTTGAGCAAAGACCTCAGTCTCATGCTCGAGCGACTATCGAGCGTGCATCGAGCAGAAAAATCGAGCAACTAGTACTTTTGCAAAGTTTACAAACTGCTCGAGCGAAGAAAGTTGTGCTTAAGCGAAGGCACTGTTTTCAGCAAATTTTGTTAAGTGTTTCAAAATACATTTTGGCATCCTCATTGAATTCTAGGCATTCCTAGGCCCTAATTAAGACCTAATAATGAGGATAAAACTTAGAAACACACTAAGAACGAAAAGAAGTAAGTTCAGTGCCTTCTGAACGTGTATTTCAATGTGTATCTATTATGTTTGTGTAGGTCATGCGCCATAATCTATTTGATTTGTTTGCTTCTGGAGCAATCTATGAGTAATAACTTAGTAAAGTTTTGTTCAACTTAATTTATTTTCTGTATGATGAATTAAGATATATTTTATGAAATGTTATATTCTGTACAATGAATAATTTTCCAAGTTTCTGAAATGTATTCATGGCATCCTTAGCACATAGCCCTTGCCCGGGGGTAATAATAACGTGGCCTCATGGCCCTCGCCCGGGGGTAATAATAACGTAGTCTCATGGCCCTTGCTCAGGGGTAACAATACCGTGGCTTAAGCGTGTTATCTGTTCTTAGTACCTAAGGTTCCTTTATGGAACTGGTCAAGTATGACCCTTAATGCTCTTTATCTGATCTGTTATCACTAATGGATGTACCATGTATGATTAAGAACAAATTTCTGATTTTCTATATATGATTTTGAACAAGAATAAGAATTATGACTCTGTTTCTGCTTTCTGAATCTGTTACGAGACATCATTTATTTAACCCTTTACTCTATTATTATTCACTGGGCCGCTTACTCTATTTATATTATGTATGTAGTTGACCAAGCACGTGACTAGACCCAGAGTTGATGGCCTAGAGTTTGAGTTTTGAGTCAACCGGCCACCATGCCTCCTTAAAAGGTTCCTATTGAAAGAAGTCAAGTTTTGTGGACCAAGCTAAGAGTTTGTTTTGTTTTGTTTTGTTTTTGTTTATCTATATACTAGACTAGTCCCTTTTGATAATACCTGTACAATGTTGCATGACTTATGACCTTTTGATGTTATGTATACATATGTACAAAGTTTTAAATTATCTCTATCATGTATGTCACACAACTCTATAGGCGTTGTATGTTTGTATTTACTTCCGCAACCCCTCTATTTATATGGTTTTCAAGTCAGAGGCCTTCGATAATCACAGGATTACTGGTCGGTTACGACGCTAAACCTAAAAATGCAGGTTTGGGTCATGGCACATACGACCTACATTCCCCTTCATTGATTTGCATAAATAAATAAACTCAAATAAACCATAAACTCTAATACTAGTTGTTAGGAAAAGTAGATTTTCCACAAGTAAATCAATTTGTAACACAGTTACCAAGGATAAATAGTCAAATAGCCGCCGCACTTTGCTTTGGAAGAGCAAAAAACAATATATATAAAATATTGTTAATTCTTAGGTCTTTTATCAAAACCCTAACTGCTACCAAACTGAATATTAAATACGTATTAGGCCTCCAAAAGTTAGATATAATATATTAAAAATATATTATAACCAATACCAAATCAAACCAAATATTTTAATAAACCAATTGAGTCTCATACTCCACTAAGGAAGTATACCCAACATTTTCTATGTTTCAACTTTTCTTCACTTGTAGAACTTCAACAACAATACAACCACACAACCAAAACAAAATTCTACAATCTAAAAACAAATCACATGACCTGAAAACATATGACAAAATTACCGAAAGACTAACAATCACCAAAACATCAAACATTAAACATTTGAAACATAAAAAAACAAGAGAATGAAATTCTTCAACCAAAATTAAAAAAACAATGCATGTAATGCTTGCAGAGTAATGAAGCCACCATGACACGTTCCAAGTTGGATTTCATTAATGAGAATCAAGACTAATCGGGTAGAGATCATGAGAAGTTGTAGAGGACGAGCCATTTCGTGCTGTTTCTGATAAATCAATGAGGGTTTGGCCTTCACTTGAGTTCTGGCGTTGCAGCTCATAGTATTTGTCTCTAAGGGATTTGAACCTAAAGTCATCACCATATTCACTTTGATCCATCATCAGTTCTTCGACGCATATATCACCTTCAAGCATTCTTACTACTGCAGACATGGTCGGCCTAACCACCGAAGATGGATTAGTGCAAGATAAAGCTACTTTAAGAATTTTTATTGCTTCCTCCTCGTTGAAATTGGAACCCAACTTTGGATCCATCAACTCTACTAAATTTCCTTTATTTTGTAAAGCAAGTGCCTGAAATAAGAACAACAAATGTATTCTCATGATAAGTAATAAGTTAGTAAAGAACCCTAGATATAAAGTAGCAGTACACAACCAGGACTTGAGTATAACTAATTATAGGTCAATCAACGTGGACTTACAAAATTAAAAGTGAGTTTGACTCATAAAAGCAATGCTGTATTTTGGATAAAAATTTCAATGAAGGATGATCTATTTTGGGTTTACACTCTTGTTTTGCAGTAGAAATCCTTTTCATACTCAAAAATAAATATCAAGGATTATTAGAATATCTGTAATTATGAACACTGGTAATTCATTATCATTTAAATTAAGAGAGATTATCCAATCCAATTGAAAATTTAAAGCATTGGAAACAATAACTGTCAATCAGTTAAAATCATACTTTACGCAACCAATTCAGGTAGTTCAATTGCCTTTGCATTAACTTGAGTTAAAGCAAGCCAATTAAGCTTAAATGGATTGGTCAATCCTACAGCAAGGAAAAATGGTTTTAAACTGTGTCGTCAATACAGTAGTTCTACATGCACAAAAAACAAATCATAGAACACTCACAATAGTGTGGGTCCCATAGTATGTGGGCCCCACCCCTTGTAAGTGTTTTGTAATTTGTTTATATGCAAGTATCTTTTTTCTATTGTCAATCAAGAGACTTCAAGAACTAGGTAATCTTACCCAATCAAGTAGACAAACATAATTTTCAATAGCACGATATTTCATGTTGTTCTTTCCAGCAATAATTTCCAACGCGACAATCCCAAAACTATAAACATCTGCTTTATGGGATAAGTGACCCCATAATGCATATTCTGGTGCCATGTACCCTCTGCACAACAAACATTATTTTGTCAATCTTACCAATGTAAGCTTTTACGTACATGTACAACAACAACAGTAGTTTTACATGATAAATGCCAGCATACATGTGTAAATTTGGCAATTTTTCAAGCATTTGTTCAAAGTTTACGGCCATAGAAGTGTGGTCACTAATCAGAACTTCATTTTTTTTGTTATCTTAGTGAAATTTCAAATAGATTTTGTAACAATATAACACATCTAAACATTGAAAAGTTTAGACATATATAAAAGCTATACTGTAACAATATAATTACTGTAAAATACGATTCCATTGTGGTAGGCTTGACTGTAATTTCCAATTTTGTGCTCAAATTTGGTTTCCATTGCAGACTTGTGGTATTTATACACAATATAGTCTAACTATGGAACATATCTCTCTTACTCCAACTCCACTGTGATCCATGAGTTGGTTAATCATTTATCCAAAGTAACTTTGCAAGTTACTACAATTTACAAAAATCCAGATACCTTTTTTCTTCTCTTTTTTAATTCATTTAGGAAACTAAGATACGGATGAAACATCAGGTTAACAATATTATCATATTACAAGTACACGTAAGTCAATTCAGTAAATGTGGATGTGTACAACGACCAACTATTCCACAAGTAAGCTTGCATTGCAAATGCAGATAATCCAATTCAGTAAATGTGGATCTATACAACTACCAATTATTCCATAAGGCTACATTGGAAATGCAGATTCCTAATAAGAGACATCTATCCGCAAAGACTACTGGTTTCCTTGTTGGGGAACTTTCTTGGTCAAATGAGTTCACAAAAATAAATTAGGAATTTCCAGTGTTTTAACAAATCAGAATCATAAAAAGTCAGCAAAAATGTGTTAGACAGGGATAACTGTTGGTTACTTTAACAATTTGAACTAGTAATTAATCAGCACTACTTATGTTTAGTCATGATTTAGAGATGAAAGAAAAGGTAATGGAATTATATCATGTTCTAAGGCGAGATTTTCTGATATACAAACTTCTGAAAGAATCGGAGAGCATTAGTCACCATTAAGAGAAGAAAATTGGTAGCTTACATAGTTCCAGCAATTCTGGTGCTAATGTGGGTGTTCTCATCTTCATCAAGCTTGGCCAAACCAAAGTCAGAGATCTTAGGATTAAGATCCACATCAAGTAGTATATTGGTAGCCTTGATATCTCTGTGAACAATTTTCAGTCTCGATTCCTCATGCAGGAATTGCTATGCCAATACAAATTCTAACTCTGGTAGGCCAATCCAATTCCAATTGGCATTCCTTTGGACCTATAATTAATAAATACCCAAATCAGGAGGGGCAAAAAAAAAAAAAAAGAATATCAAAAATATATAACATATTCATTGTTAGTAATAGTGGTCATACTGTTTTCATATTGATCATACTAACTAAAAGAACGTACACAATTGATTAAAAACTTTAAATTACCAAACAAAGCTCGGGCAAGGCTATTTTTTTCCATGTATTCATATACCAAGAGTAGTTGATCCCTTTCAATACAACAACCGTACAATCTTACTAGATTTGGGTGCTGCAAACCAGAGATCATTCCTATCTCATTAACAAATTCACGATTTCCTTGCTTTGATTTGGAAGAAAGTTGCTTAACTGCAATCACTGTGCCATCTAATAAAACACCCTGCAATGGAATAACAAAGTTTTTATTCAGTAACCTTTAAAACATGGAATGTACATCTCAACATGATTACACAAACAGAAAATTAAAACTACACATTACAACGAAAAGATTTAAATATATCTAATGGATTACTATATACCTTATAGACAGATCCAAAACCACCTTCCCCAATTTTATTTGCTTCGTCAAAGTTGTTAGTTGCATCTTGTATTATTCTGAATGTAAATAAGCCAGTTTGCAACTCCAATCCTCTTAGATCTGCAAAAGAACAAGCAGAACAATTACTGCATCATCAAAGCAGTGACTTTGCTTTTTGGCCAAGTATTTAGGTATCAAATGGAAAAACACTATTCCTTTGTTTGGTAGCATAAAAGTTGGAATGAACAAAAAGAGCACTTGTAATCTTTCAGTGGATACAAATAATCCTTGCCTGTTATGAGATTCCTGATTTTCTTTTGTTTATAAATCTAGGTACTTTTTTCTGTATCCCACAACATTTGAAAACATGTCAATGTGTTTCTTTTACAATTTATTTAAGGCAAGAACATTTTGAATTTTAAAGAAACAGGAAAAACTTGTGAGTCCACTTTCCATCTTTAATTGTTGTTGAAAAATATTAGTTTCAGGTGTTTGGAGAAGGCATGCATCTTCTTACATTGTTCTTACATCCTGTAATTGTTGGATTCTATGAAAGCTATTTGTTATCTATTCAAAATATAAAAAATCACAAACTGTGGAGTAGCTTTAAGAACCTTGTTCCCTTGACATATTGCTTCTTGAGCGGCCTTTCCACCAAAAAGTAAACAGAATTATAAAAATGAGGCACAATAATAAAGCCACAACTCCAACTATAATGAATATCTTCGTTTTCTTTTTTAGAGGAGGCTTGAAATCTGCACAAAAAAAAATAATAATAATTAGACAGAAAGATTGCTTGCTATCTGCAAGTTCTGTCCACAGCTGGAACAATACAATCATTCAGAATTCATATTATAAAAAATTATTTGATAACCAAAGACAAAATAACTAGGAAGGACAAAAACTTAGTCATTATGAGACTGCAAATTGTCTCTGTTTTTAGATCACGGATTTTTACGTCTCAAAGTTAAGGAATAACTTCTAGAATATCATGCATGGATCTTATGCAGTCAAGAATACAACAGAGAATCTCTAGCACAAGCATGAGAGAGAGAGTAAGTGTTGAATCGTCACTAATGAGAAAAGAAAACATACTAGATTTTCTATATTAAAATCTGGCAAAACCAGTACATACTAGATTCCACAGAAATAGCTGATATGAGAGGACCATAATTTCCTTTAGTGGGGACAGCTCTTGTTCCTTTCCCTGCCCAATAAAAGCGAATCTCTATAGTATTATTCTTCACAAGTGTAGTGAACCTTTGAACCACTGCCTTATCAACCCCATGTGCAACATTTTCTATATTAAAATCCGACAAAACCAGTACATCCTGTAACAACAAATGAAATCAAATACGTTTTTGTTGCATCTAGAATGAACAATCACAAATGTCTTTTTCAACAAGCACAATCACAAAGTCGCTAAGTACCTGGATATAAACATCAAATATGCGTCTTCCAAGACTTTGAAACGATTGGTTGTTTCTGAATATTATCTCAGCAAAATGAAGTGTAACTGTATATTTCCCATTTGCTAAGCAATGCCCATAGTAAGTAAGAGACAAAGGAGAGAGTCGAGCATTTGTGTACAACTGAGAGTCATCCATTGTGATAATTGATTTATTTGTGGCAACATAGGTCCCATTTTCGCCAGTATCCCAAAAGAGTCCAGTAGTACTAGTTCCCCAATTCGGTGATACTGGAAAAAATTCTGCTGGACTTCCTGCGTCTTCATCTGCTTCATATATGATGTTTCCAACTGTGGTTCTTGCTCCACCACAATTTATATGCAATGAATACTGCTCTGAAAATTGCGTTTAGAAGTGATCACACATGAAAGGAAAAGAAAGTAAGAAGGGACAAAAGTTTCAGATATTTGTATATGTTTGAATTTGCTCTTGACACCTAAAAAGGTAAGCCAGATGCAAGAATCAAAATTTTGTTTCGGTATGTTGCTTCAGTTAGCTTGGAAACAGACGCAATGAAGGAACATTAGGGAGATGATAATTTTTAAACAAATAACTAAAGCCATATAAATATTTACACAAGCTTAATAATTGAATAATTGAACATGTTTTAGGTCTACACATCTCTTTCCATAAAGAGTGAAGGCATATGAGTTGGAAGTAAATTCAGTGCAAACCGAGAATCATCAAATTAATGTCAAACAACTCAATGTTATGGCACACATGCATATACAATTGTAATATGCACAAGGTTCCAACCAAAAAATATTTACAAAAATATTAAGGCTAATTTTTGGGAAAACAATATTAATAGTAAACAAAGGTCAAAGAGAATCCAAGGTGAGGGATGTCCTTTCGGAAAACTTTTTTTTTAATTTTTTAATTTTTTACGAGAATAAGAGAAAGGTTCAATAAAGATCAAATAATATTGGAAGGTCATAAACAAAAGGTTTGAAGTGTTAGTTGGAGAAGGGTGTTTTCCATCGTAAAATCAAATAAAACATAAAAATGCTACATTCTAGTAGAAGTATGGGTGCGGAAAAAACAAGTAACATTAATAGTATTTATAAGAAAAGGTATGTCTATAATAAAAAATAAAAGAAAATAAGTGACTTGAACACGTACTTTTTTTTATCCATTTCTCCATCTTTTATCCTCATTTCTACTTTCCTAGATTCTGTAATAAATTTAAGATTTCTCTACTCTAAAAATTTTATATTAATAAAAGAAAAAAAGAAAAAGAAAAAAGGCAAATAGAAAAAGCTTTTGTTAGATATTCATAATAGGTGTTGAAACAACTTATTATTTCAAAATGTTTCATAGTGTTTCGATGAGTTTCAGTGAAAACATTGAATATCCATTTTTCACTGAAGTTTTGTGTCAGTTTACTAGAAAGGAAAACATTTCGGAAATTTAAATGAAAAGAAAAAAAAAATTGCTTTGGCCAGATGTCGTCTACAAAATTAGCCGCCATCAGTAAAGACTGAAGAAATATAAATAAGAAACTGAGATATAACCTCCTGTAAGAAAAATATATACTTACTACTTTGACAAGCTGTCATGCAGTCAGCAAATTCCCTGGATTAATTTAGCAAAAAAAAAAAAAAAAAAAAAAATTCATAGCATTATACAATACAACTCTGAAATACAGATTGTAGTTCTTTAAAAGAAAGGTAGAAGCTTACTTCTTCCCACTAAAAAAGCTTCTGAATAAGTTTCTGGACACAAAAAAGAAAAGAACAATGAGCAAATGTTTATGGAAGCGAAATCAAGAACAATAAGCAAAAGAACAAGAGAAAAAGGGAAAGAACTTACAGGGTGCTTTTACAAAGTGATGGCTGAGAGATCTCAGAAAAGTTATTATAAGAAAGATCTATTGGGCTGCATGAGATCAGTTTGATACTTTAATTGTTACCACAAACTCAGTATACAATCTGTGTGTGTAAGGTGCAAAACAAACTAGAACAAAATTCAGAGTGTACAAAACAGATTTATTGTGACTGAATTTTTATTTCAAAAAAAAAAAAAAATTTAAAAAACTTGAAAACAAATCTATAAAAACAGAACAGAAACTTACAGCCAATTTGCAAAAAGCAGTAATGGCAGAAAGCAGTAATGGAGACAGATCAAGTCGAGTGTTCAACACATTTTTCTTAAGACAGATTCGTCCCTCACACGGTGCTTTGGAGAACTGGACTTCTAGCGCCCAGGATGAAATGGTGTTCATAGTCTAATCATAACACTACATGCAGACTGCCAGTGAACCAAATGGCGTATGTACTCACTCACCGGAAAACCAGAACTCTCAAAATGCAGAGTATGAAGCAGAGCAGAAGGGAGGAAGACAGATGAAAATAGGAAATGATTTCGATGATTGGAATGGCTAGAGGGACTGCCATTTTATAGGCTGAAAAATGCCTGTTCGGACTAACGAAAAAGGGCAACGAAAAGACGTGACCAGTGACACCAGAAATACCTGGAAAGTTGTGACACTCTAGAAGACCTTGTTTGCGAAAAATTTGAAATTCAATTTTGAATTTTGAAATTTCGCACAAAAATTTTGAATTCAAATTCAAATAAATTTGGCCCAAAAAAATATACCCAAACCAGCAAATTGACCTCGACCACGCAACTGTGCCAAAGCCGGGTTTGGTGGGAGAAGGCAGCAGCAGCGGCCCACTCGCATGTGTTGATTTTTTGGATCCAACCCATTTGGTCCATAACTCCCTTCCTTACAAAACTTGGGTGCCCTTAGAGCCCAAACCCAAGTGCCAAACTTAGTTATCATATACACAAAAAAACTTCTGCTAGCTTTCCTATGTGGGACAAGCTCAATACACCTGTTTATAGAAAACTGAACAACAATACCATTTCCAAGAGGCTCACTTTGGCGTCAATTACCCATTCACCCAAAAATGGTTTTGAACAACCTCTTGTTCACCAGATGAAAACAAACACATCACCACTTGAATCCATCCAAATGGGTGTGTGGGTCCCACTTAATCTTGGTTAGCCAAAAACCATGGGTTCAAAACTCATTTTTCTTAGAATCCCCCCCATGAATTAAATTGATGGAAAGAACAAGCAACAACATGCAGATATTGAGGAAGTACAAATTGGAAATACCATACTTCGAGATAGGTAACTTTTGGCTTTGAAACTATCAAACATACTAGCCAAACAATGGACAAGATGCCTTGAATTGTTTAACCATTTGTGTAAGCCAAAACAATAGAATTCACACAGAATATCTTCGAACACAGTTTAGTTCTCATTTCATGAGTGCCTTAGAGAATTTATCCTTTATTCATTCTCATAGAAGCGGCCCATTCTCGCTCATATAGGTGATCTTTATTTCAAAATTTGTATTTACTATCTATGCTTCTACTTATTGAGCTATCAGCTGACTTAGTTGTTAAACATTTTCAAGTGAGAGAAGAACTTAGGGTGGACTCGTGGCTCAACAGGGTCTCTATCTTATGAACCTTTAGGACATTCATTTATTATTTTTAGATTGTTATGTCAATTTTTTGCATACATTTTGGTTGAGACTCATTTAGGATTATTTTGTTATGTGGGTTGTTTGTGTCCCATTAGATATATGGATGGTATTGATTATGGTTGGTTTTGCCGTTTATACTAGTGACATGTGTAACAACCCTCATACTGTTTACCGATTAATGACTGATTGATTACCGATAAACAAAACTGAACTGATTATGACTGATAATTGGACTGGTTAAAGTACTGAACTGACTTACTGAAAAAAAAAAAAAAAATGGAACTGAATTGACTGAGTGTGTATGTTAATTTGTATTCTATCTGTTTGATTGATTATTTGATCTGTTCGTGTTTTACGTTTAAACTGCTAATTGAAGGCCTTATCGGCGGCCGAACCGGGAATTGGTTAGTGTTCTATGATCCTTAGAATTAATGTGATTTTATGGTATAATTATCTGAAAACTGTTAGGTATGATTAAATTAGATTAAATATTGATCAATTGCATAGTTTGATTTATTTACCATTTTGCCACATGAGTGGCCCACTCAATACATATACTTGAGCCTCATTATACACCTAGAGCAAACATTTCCTCAGCCTTGTTTGAGCTCTAGCCGACCATGAGAGGGAGAGAGTGAGAGAATTTGGATTTCATCTTGAATTGCTTGCTAATTGAAGTGTAGATTGCTAAATTGAACCTCTAGACTTGCATTCAAGGAACCTAGGTATGAATTTCATCTTTTTGATTTGTCTTTAAGTTGATTCATGCATGGTTCATGTCTAATTGTAGAGCTAAGTCATGAATTGGCTCATTAATGGTGAATTGAAGCTCATTTCATGCATGCATGTTTGAATTGATGAGTTTTGAGTTGAATTCATGGTAAAATTGTACATGCATGTTCATAATTTTGTAATGGTCCATGTTTTCAACTTGTTTTGGGATCAATTGGCTCTTTCGAGCATCAGTATACCTGTTATATTGCATTTCTATCTGTTGCCTGTTTGATTATCTGTTCATGTTTTTATCATCTTGTTCTTGAAAATTGGTTTGAAATTGGGTTTGAATTAAACACCCTTGGGCTTTGATTTCTCAAATTGAGCTTTGAACCATGTTATTCTATGTGTTTACAAATGTTTTCCAGAAAATGGGCCCAAGAGGATCGGTTTTGATGCATTTGAATGTGAGTTTGAGCTTGGTGGTGCAATCTGGGTTTTCCAGATTTTGCACTCCCGCTCGAGCGGGGCAAGTGGCGCTCGAGCGTGGAATCCGAGCATCCAGTAATTCTGCACTGTTTTACAGACCGCTCGAGCGGAGTATTGGGCGCTCGAGCGGAGTCATGTGTCTCAAGCTCGAGCGGGCGTCGAGTGTCCGTCGAGCGGAGATTTCACCCATCCAGTACTTTTACAGTACGCTCGAGCGGGAAAGTTGACACTCGAGCGTGTACCTTTGTTGCATGTCCGCTCGAGCGGGGAAACCTGCGCTCGAGCGGAACTCTGTTTTTCTGAATATTCTGAAACTGTTTTCTGATCACATCTTTGCATCCTCATCCCATTTTAGGCATTCTTAGACCTAGTTTTAGACATCTCATTGAGGGCTTAGATGTGGAACACACTGAAGCAAATTAGGGATTAAGTTATTATCTTTCCCAACTGTGTAGCTTAGTGTGTTCAATCTGTTAACTGTATAGGGTTGGCGACTGGGGAGACACGCTCTAGCATACTGTAGCCCAAACTCTGTGAGTAACAATTGTGTAAAGATATGTTCAAATGATTATCTTCTGAATACTGAACTGAACTGTTTACTGAACTGATATTGTTTAGAGAATGAATGTATGTCCTATATTCTAAACTGTACTGTGGCATTCTTGGCATCTACTATTACTGTTACTGTTACAGAGATCTCTGTCGGTTCCCTCATGGGACCACTACTGTTTACTGATTGATGGCCATTATTACTGTTCGGTCTTTAAGACCTACTGTTTACTGCTATGCTAAGGGATGTACCACATATGACTGAATAACTGTTCTGACTGAAAGACTGAAGTATTGTTTAATGAACTGATTTCATTACTGCAAGGACATTTCATTCATAACCTCTTTACGCATTATGTTCCCTCGTGGAACCACTACTGTTTACCGATTGATGGCCATCAATACTGTTCGGTCTTTAAGACCTACTGTTTACTGCTATGCTAATGGATGTACCACATATGACTGAATAACTGTTCTGACTGAAAGACCGAAGTATTGTTTAATGAACTGATTTCATTACCGTAAGGACATTTCATTCATAACCCCTTTACGCATTATGTTATTCACTGGGCTTTAGCTCACTGTTTATATATATATGTAGGTGCTCAGCCGCTAGATCGGAGCTAGGAGCGTGGGTTAGACTCCAGTTTTGTCAAGCCAGCCTTTGTGCCTTACGGAGAGGTTCCGAGTTGCCATGCTATGGCTTTGGGGTGTCTTGTTTTTCCCCCTTCTGTACCGTCTACTGTTCTGTATAGACTGAATGTTTACTGTACTGTTATCAAGGGATTAGGTCCCTGTACTGTGTGACTGTAAATTTTGTATAGACTATACTGTTCGTACATGTGAATGCATGAAAAATCTTTTTGGCATGCAGACTGTCACAGCTCAATGGACATTATTTATTTACTGTATTGGCTTCCGCCAAGCCCTGTACTCTGTTTTACTATACTACTGTTCTGCAGGCCTTTGGTAATCTCGGATTACTGGCCGGTTACGGTGCTAAACCCATAGGGCCGGGTTTGGGTCGTGACATCGGCCTTGTCCTAACACTTGAAAATATTGTAACAAATATTTTCACAATTGTTGCTTAGGACTTGTCACTTTCTCAATGTCTTCTATCAAGACTTCAGTTTTCCATATTTCAAGTTTTGACAATCTAGTAGTCTCGGCAAGTACGCAGATATTGTTTGAGCTTGACTTTAACTTGTAAATTTTTCTCAAAAATTTCAACAAGTGTTTAAACCATCTTCCTTTCGATACGACATCGGTTTAATTATAACTTGTAAATTCACACAGAATTTCAACAAGTGTTAAACATCATCTCGGTTTAATTTCAATTTGTAAATTCACACAGAATTTCAACAAGTGTTAAATATCATCTCCGTTTAACTTCAACTTGTAAATTCACACAGAATTTCAACAAGTGTTGAATATGACCTCGGTTTAACTTCAACTTGTAAATTCACACAGAATTTCAACAAGTGTTAAACATCATCTCGGTTTAACTTCAACTTGTAAATTCACACAGAATTTCAACAAGTGTTAAATATCATCTCAGTTTAACTTCAACTTGTAAATTCACACAGAATTTCAACAAGTGTTAAATATCACATCGGTTTAACTTCAA